CAGATTCTCTTTTGATCAGAAATTACCTAACAGAGTAGACTAAAGAGAATTAAAGGAAGATAAAAAGGAAATCCACAAAGCAGCCATGTTTTTCCAGGAGGAAACAGCTTTTCCTTAACTCTCCTCCACAAAGCCCAGCAGCTTCTTCTCCCCTTATGCTATTTGTAATCTCAGGGAGGGACAATTGTGATGCTCCCTCTATCCTTTCTCACGGCATTTCAAATTCTAAGAAGGGTAACTGTCTCATTGTCCCTTTTCTTAAAACTAGCATGTTTTCTGGGAAAACAGGAGGTGTGGCCCAAAACTGATTTTGAGGGTGAGGGGCCATCCTCAGTGACCTCCAGGCTTGCTGATTGTCAGACCACCTAAGGACATCCAGGTTTAGCATACCTGAAGTGGTTGTGTATTAGGGCTCTGGAGGTTAGGAATAGGAGCTCGTGTTTACCACTGAATAATCCCATTATTCACTTTCAAAAGTTCGATAGGAGAGCCCTTGGGTTGGATTCTCAGGAGAAAGGTAGGACAGAGAACATGTGGGGTCAGGACTTGCTGTGAAAATATAGGTTGGATTATTCAGGTGCATTCAGGTATAGTGAAGCCAACAGGTCAGGAGGACAGGTAGGACTGAATATTTTGTAAACAGCTATGGTGGCACAGTTCTGTGATCTCAAATTGGAAGCCACCGTTGGCTAATAATACCAGGCTAGCTTTAGCTACATAGCAAGACCCTGTCTCAAACTAAAACACATAGATATGAGGAAATGAGCAGAACAATTGGGGTACCCCACCCCACACCAGGGCTGCACAGGGAAGCACCAGGGCTCATCAGAAGGCAAAGCTGGTGGAGGGATGAATGTGCCTAGAGGCCTGCTATAGGAAGGGTTAGTTAAGACAGGCTCAGCAGGTTTAGGATTGGCCAGTTTTGGTTCCTTCAGAGCTGGGCATAAACACTATAACAGTTGTCTTCCGGTATGTTCCTTAACTGTTGAAGGGACCAGCTCCCCATTTCGGCAGCCATAACAGCCCAACACATGCTTGTTTGACTTTGTCTTTGTCACTAAGGTCAGATGCCTGCCCCTTCCGGCAGCCATAACAGCCCAACACATGCTTGTTTGACTTTGTCTTTGTCACTAAGGTCAGATGCCTGCCCCTTCCGGCAGCCATAACAGCCGAACACGTGCTTGTCTGCCCTTCCCTTGGTCACTAGGAAGTCAGATGCCTGCCTCGTGGCAAGGAACCAATCAGAAGTTAGCTGGGGGGGCTATGCTTTATGGCTGTGGGGGTGCTTTACAGACCAGCGCACAGCAATGAAGCGCAGAGCATAGCAACCACCCTGGGAGGGCCTATGGGCCATAACAACCAGTTGACCAATCACCACAGGGCAACCCCTCCAAGCCTGGAGGCACACCAATCCTGAGCCTGTGTGTACCCCTAGACTCTCCCCTTCCGCTGCCCTATAAGATCTTTATGCAGCTGCTTCAAACTGTCTTGGCTAGCCATCCTCCATGGCGGGTGGGGGAAAGACCTGAGCTAACATGGGGGTAGCCCTTTAAAAAACAATAAAGCCTTGTGCAGTTTGCATCAAGCTTGCGACTCCGCATGGTGATTGGGGTGGCCACGGTCCTGGGCTGAGATCCTGGAAGCCTGAGCTTTCTGGGGGTCTTACACTGTCAAGGCAGGTGAAAGTGATTTAGAACACCTGAACTTTAAGAAGGGTGTTAGGAGCCAGGGCTGGGAAAGATCATTGGGCTAGATCATTTTGTATATGAAAGGGTCTCCTAGGCTAATCCTAGAGGGATGACCTCCCCCAAATCTGCAAGCCCCTGGGGATCAAAGCTCATCCACTCTGGTTCCTTGGGCTTCTTGGGAATGCCCCTCTTCTCTCCTGCCACCTTGGCCAACCTAACAACAGGCTCACTAGGGGGACATGTCCTAGCTACTAGGCTCTCTACCAGGCAGCATTTCATAGCCTAGTCTTTTTGCTGTTTATTTTTAGAAGACAGGGTTTCTCTGTGTAGCTTTGGCTATCCTGGAACTCACTCTGTAGACCAGGCTGTCCTTGAACTCAGATATCTGTCTGCCTCTGTCTCCCAAGTGCTGGATTTAAAGGCATGTGTCACCATGCCCTCTATCTATTCCTGTCTTCTGTGGTGGTTTTGCTGTGGTTATTGTTTTGACTTTTGGTGCTATTTTTCTATGAATATATGCTGCCACACAGAAAAAAAAAAAGAAAACAATGTAAACTCACCAAGGACTGGCAGTGAAAAACAAGCCCCCTGCATCATTCTGTGTGACAATCCTGGCCTAAAGCCCACCCAACCTCCTTTTCTCCAGTTCATTTTCTATATAAAGAGGCTTAGTGATTCATTGGTGGAGTGTCCTGCACCCACATTTTCCTGGCTATTTGTAGTCATGGCTTCTAGAAACCTTGCTGCACCAGATAGGATACCCTTGGATGGTTTCCTCAGGCACAGGGTGGAGAATCTGCACAGGCACATTGTCTTTGTGGGGAGAAACACCCTGGTAACTGCTCATATCTGTGGCTGAGGGTCCATCCATTCTTACTTGCATAGGAAAGCAGGTCTGCAAGGTTGAAGGCGTAGTAGCTGCTGTCATATGACTTTTTCTGGGGTGAGAGAAACATTGTTTCACCCTAGATATACAGGGTATCAATGGGTCAAAGAAAGGTCCAGCTTGGCCAACCAATGAGTTTATTAGAGTTACTTAGTGGAGCATGGGTGAGTCAAAGACAGCTAGAAGTACCGTGGTGGCAACTTAAAGCTGCAGTCTCCAGCCCCCAGAGTATGTTAACAGGCCTTCGTCGGTGAGGGTCTTCTGTGGGTGGTCACAGCTGCTCAGAATCAGAAGAGCCATGGTCAGATCCAACCAGGAGGAAACAGGCAGGGACACAAATGCTTCAATCCCTGGAGTCTGGCTGGGAATAAGGGGTCAAACTGGGGTCTTAGGTTTCCTATCTGCCTGATGATACTCTTGTGACCCAGAGACAGAGGTGCCTGGAGGTTAGGAAGGTGAATCAGAGCATGGCCCCAGACCTTTAGTGTCCCCATCTGAAACTAAAGCAAGGACTCTAGCTGAAACCTAAACATCCCCTCCCACTTCAGCCTTCAGTGGCATCCCCTCCACAGGGCCCTGACTCTTTATCTGTGATGTGGAACCATCACTCCCCAACTTGTGTCTTGTTCCTCCTGCTGGTGACAAGAGGTGTAATGAGATGGCTGGTGGGTGTGGAAATGCCCAGAAAGTTCTGGCCTCTATCTACCAAGATCAGGAGCAACATTTGGAATCCTTTGAAATCCCTTGCCGGAATACTAGCAGGCCTCAGGCATACACTAAATGCTCAATTATTTAGACTGAGGAATCAGAGTGTGAGGTTATCAGTGGCTCTAACGTCCTTGGGGGGATGGCTAGGCAGCACAGTTGGAGACCACAGGGAGAGGTGAGGAGCCTGGTCACCAGGAACACCTTGGCTCAGTCCCAGCTGGCTGAGGCCAGGGAGATATGTGGGACCACTTGTTTTCTAGAGAAGCCAATTTTGTTCCTCTTATTATTAATTTTTATTAAACATTTACTTATTTAAAGTGAGGGGACTTATGGGTGTCACTGTCCTCATTGTGTAGAAGTCACAGGACAACCTTCTGGAATCCATTCAGGTGGTCAGCGCCGGTGGCAGGCACCCTCGACCCCTGAGCCATCTCACAGGCCCCCGATGTCGTCCTTGATGCTTATTCAGATATTTTCAGGACGTTTGAGAGTTGAGCCAAATAGTCTCATGAGCTGGTTGAAGCCATAGAGCCACTATTGTGGAATGGTGTTTTTCCTTGCCCTCTCCCAATCCACAGATGAGAAAACAGAGGGAACACGGCCAGTGACAGTCAAGACTAGGTGCCACTAATCACTACCATTTTCCTGTCGCTCACACCCTGCATGTCTTGTTTCTTGGTGTCTGTGTGCATGTGCCTCTTGGTCCCCCTTTTCTTGACTCCTTTCCATCCTCGGTTACTCCCGGGATGTCTGACCCTCCCTTTGTTCCCTAGTCAATGTTCTCTTAGTCAACAGACAAACCAGAGCTGGGTGCAGCCACCAACCTGCGCCAGCCGCTCCTCCTTGCTCGGCCCCCTCTGGGTTTCCGGAAAGCGGGCGGGTGCCTCGGCTCTGCCGTCAGCACCCCTGGCTTCGGTCTGCGCCCCCTCCCCGCTGACCTCACCGGCGCCGCATCGCGAGCGCATATAAACCACAGCCCCTCGGAAGAGCGCGCAGTCAGAGCGGGATCTCCTATCATTGCAAACTCTACTCTGCCAGTTTGCACTTGCGGCTCAGCATCTCCGACTGCTCGACGGAGTCCCCACCTCGCAGGTAATGCCTCCGAACTTGGGACCCTAAACAGGTGGCCCCTCCACCCCGCTTCACCTGTCCCGTCGCCTTCCCGGGGCTCACTGGCCGGGGCACCCAGAGCGCTGGATGGAAGAGGTCCACCGGCAGTTCCACGCCAGGACGGTCGAACCCACCCGAGTTAGAATTAGGATTTGGGGTTCCAATGAGAGTCTTGGTTTAGCCTAGACACACGAGCATAGGGTTGTGCGAGGAGTTCGTGCGGCAAGTCAGAATCTCAGCTCCGGAGTAAGGAAGGAGGTTGGTGTTAGGACGTAGATGGAACCTTGGGAACAATTTTAGCCGCGATTGCTTTAGCTTCTCTGGCCACCGCTGCAACCCTGATGGGTACATGGGGATGGGGATATCAATCCCAAACGCAGCGCTGACTTCCCTAGCTTTGGAAGACAATAAGGGATGGCGGGGGCAGAGGGGTTTCCACCACCTCTTGGCTTGCATAGGTACCTTGGCACCCTAGTGGACCAGGAGAGTTGCCAGAAGCTCAGATGCTCCAGACAAGCGGCGGGTGACTCTGTTTTGGGGGGAGGGGGATCCCAGAGCAGCACAGTGCATTCACCTTGTTCCCATTGCCTTTGACCCTAGACGCCACGATGCCGGGCCCTTGGCTGCTGCTGTCTCTGGCTTTGATCTTCACCCTAACTGGTATCCCCGAATCCTGCGCCTTGCCAGAGGCAGCCCAGGAGGAGGGTGCTGTCCAGATGCAGCCAGAACGTCGATTCTTGCGGAAAGACCTCCAGCGGGTGCGAGGAGACCTGGGTGCAGCCTTGGGTAAATATAGGGGGCGGGGAACTGTGTGAGAGGGTTGGGGGAGCCACCTGTCATGCCCCTTCCAGACAAGTTCAGACAGTCTCATAGCCACTTCCTCAACAGGGTGGAGAGGTGGCCAGTCCTTTGGACCACAATAATTCTCAGTGCCAGAAATAATCAGAAGACAGTCTTCCAGTAGTCAAAATTTCATGTGGTCCCTATCTGTGACAATTTTAATTACCGTTTATTAAGCACTTGTATGTGTCACCCTGTCAGTAAGGGCACACTGCCATTTTGTACTGAACTGAGGTTCAGAGAGCCTGAAGTCACCCAGCAAGGAAGCAGAGAGCTGGGGCTGGAAGCTAGAGAGGCAGTGCCCTTGACCATGAGAGTGGGGGTGTCCATATAAGTCCTCAGGAACAATGGGAAAGAGGAGCTGCTGGAAATGCTAGGACAGAGTGGAAGCCTGGACTGGGTCATGGCCTGCAAGCAAGTGTTCCTGATGAAGGGACCAGGTTCTCCCACACTGGCTTTTTCTTCTCCAGACTCCTGGATCACGAAGCGCCAGCATCCAGGCAAAAGGGAGGAGGAAGAAGAAACTGAAGCTGAAGAGAGGGGAGACTTGGGAGAAGGGGGAGCCTGGAGTCCCCACAAACGACAGCACCCTGGTCGCCGTGCCAACCAGGATAAGTATTCATGGGTAGAAGCAGAGGACAGCGACTGGGTGTCACCGACCAGGTTACCACATTTTTTTCTGGAGTCCTGGTACTTAGACCAATTAGACCAAGTCAAGCGGCAGCATCCTGGCCGGAGATCTTTCCCCTGGATGGAGTCTGATGTCACCAAGAGGCAGCATCCAGGCCGGAGGTTCATAGATCCCAACTTTCAAAGAAGCTGGGAAGACAAAGAAGAGGGAGAGGGTGTCCCAATGCCGGAGAAACGCCAGCATCCTGGCAAGAGGGCGTTGGGTCAACCTTGTGGGCCCCGGGGGGCTTGTGGCCAAACAGACCTTCTCCAGCTCCTAGGTGACCTGAGCAGGGGCCAAGAGACCCTGGAGAAGCAAAGTCCACAACTGGAAGCCTGGGATAGGGAGCCTCTCTTTGAGGACTAAGCCCAGAGTTTTCGCTTTAAGTCTAGGATGACTGAAGCCCTGTATGCTTTACCCCATCTCCTTTTCCTCCCTTAGATGTTAAACCCGAGCCCTCTGTACATAGAAAGCATCCAGTCCCCTTCCCTACCCACTTCAAGGACCCCAAAGAGGAAGCAAAAGCCCTACTTGTCCCCAGCCTTCCAAGGGACCTCCTCAGAAAGGGTGGAATTGAAAAGTTTTGGTGTTGAAATCCAATTTCCATCTTCTGCCCTATGTGGAAAGACTGAGCTGGTTTAATTTCAGCACACAACAATCCCAAGACTTGGGGCCCTGAGTGAGCATGCCCTTTGGGGGGGGGTGTCACATCTTGTATATATACCCCTGTTCTTGTTAATCTCAACAACAATAAAACATATACCCAGGTTATCTATTGCTCTGCTCTTCTGTCTAGATTGTGGTTTTTATTTTGGGGCTTTGGGGATGACACCCAGCCACAAGCTCTGCCCAGAGGACTGTCCCTAATCTTAGTTATTCTGGCAAACGGTCCAGCTCTGGAGTCTTTGGCTGGGTGTGGTGGATGGAGATTAGAGGGTAGGACAGACATTGATGTCTGAGTCTACCTGGTTTGGGGAGGGGAGTACATGTTACTGTGCCTAAAATTAGGGGACTTCTGGAGTCAGTCCTGGGAGGAAGGCTAGGAGGGGACAAATAGAAGTCACCTGACACCTTATCTATGAACACCGTCCCTGAACAGGGACTTAAATGTCATGCCTCACAGTCCTAGGTGATATTACTAAGTGAAGTAATTGGCTCCTGTGCAACCTTTAACTGACTCCAACTTCTTTGTGAAGGTATATGTGAATACTTCCTTCAGCCCGAGACTGCACACACCTTGCTCCATCTAAGCTAATGTTACATGGGAGACACTTTACATTTGGCAACATTTCCCAGCCCCCTTTGTGGGTAGGGGAGTCATGTGGTCAATTCTGGCCAATGGGCTATTATGACACTTCAAATCTTGTACAAATGACTTGTGTAGGCCATTCCTCCTAACTCTTCCTACTCTGGTGGCTGGGGCTTCCCATGTAGTTTGCCAGAGGACATAGTAGAAGGATCTGAGATCCTGGTCTCACCTGATGGGGGTTAGACGAATCACCATGCCAGTCTTAGGAGTACAAGAAACAAAAAAACTTAAGACATTGAGAGTCACTAAAAAGTGTTGTCGGACTTAACCAATAGCAACAAACACAGCCTGCCTTTTCCCACCACACAAAAATCCTTCCCTGTTGAAGCCTTCTAGATCAGGGCCTGACCTGAAGAAGGTATTTGATAAATACCTTCATTTCATGGAAGTTACAAGCTTAAAGTCATTTCTATTTTAATTTCCTGATCTGACTTCCCACCAGTGGGAAAACAAGACAATAGAAGAGGACAGCTTAGCATGAGAAACACTGGTTCTGGGAATTGAGAAGGAAGGAGAAACTGGCTAAGCAGAGAGGCCTTCCTGGAGGAAGGAGGAAATCACTAAGCCCAAGTCTCAATAGAGAAAAAGCACCCAAGGCCAAAGGGTAGGGCATCAAGGGTCCATAGCAGAGATCATGTGTTCTGGGGGAGTATGAAGATCAGAAATATGTGGGAGCCTCTCTCCCCTCTCCCACTCTCTTCCATCACCAAGGTAATAAACACCAGGTCTTCTGCTGTCCAACTCTTTCAGGTTCAGTCCAGTTCCCACTCAGAAGCTTTGAGCCCCTTGGGCTATAGGATGACTCAGTGGGTGTGCTGGCTAGTTTTGTCAATTTGATACAAGCTAGAGTCATCTGAAAAGAGGGAGCCTCAGTTAAGAAAATGCCTCCAAAGGTGAAGCTATCAGCAGGCAAGCCTTGTAGCACATTTTCTTAATTAGTGATTGATAGGGGAGGGTCCATCCCATTGAAGGTGGGGCCACCCCTGGACACAGGTGGTCCTGGGTTCTATAAGAAAGCAAGCTGGGGCTGGAGAGATGGCTCAGAGGTTGAGAACACTAACTACTCTTCCAGAGGTCCTGAGTTCAATTCCCAGCAACCACATGGTTGCTCACAACCATCTGTAATGAGATCCGGTGCCCTCTTCTGCTGTGCAGGCACACATGAAGGCAGAATGTAGTAAACATAATAAATAAATAAATTTTAAAAAAAGAAAAGAGAAGAAAGCAAGCTGAGCAAGCCATGAGGAATGTGCCAGTAAGCAGTACTCCAAGGCCTTCTTATAGCTCCTGCCTCAGGGTTCCTGTCCTGTTTGAGTTTCTGCCTTGACTTCCCACAATGGACTATGACTCAGGATATGTAAGCCAAATTAACACTTTTCTCCACAAGTTGCTTTTGATCAAGGTATTTTATCACAGCAATAGTAACAATAATTAGAACATATGTTCATGGGGTTTTGCTGAGACAGTCCTGACTATGTTGTTTTGGGGAAGATTGTATAAGGACTTTAAGACTTTGAGCTAGAAAAGCTGTGAGTCTTGAGAGCTCAGTGAGCTGTTCTTTGGGAGTTTAGGAGATAAGAATGTTGAGAGCAGCCAGGCAGTGGTGATGTAATCCTTTAATTCCAGCACTCTGGGAGGTGGAGGCTGGTAAATCTCTATGAGTTTGAGGCCAGCCTGGTCTACAGAGGGAGCTCCAGGACAGCCAAGGCTACACAGAGAAACCCTGTCTCAAAACAAAAAGAATGTTGAGAACAATGCAGATGATGGAGCAAAGAATCTACTGGGTCATTTGTGTGAAGAATATGTGGTGTCTGGTCAGCTGGGCCTGAAGAATCAGCCATGATTAACAAGAGACCAGAACCAAGGAAGTGAAACTTTTGTTTTGCTGGGATAATTATACTGGTCACCTGGAGCTGAGGAATGGGCAGTAATTAAGAAGAGACCAGCCCCATCGAGGTAGAAACTTCTGGGAAGTGTTTCCTGAGAGTCAGCACACAGAAGCTGTGTTCTAGAGGTGGTCTAGGCTATACCTTGCACTGGCAGCCAAACTTAGTAATGTGTAAGAGTCTCACAAGTGGTAACAGTTTTGAAGGCCTGTAAGGGTCGTGGAAGGCTCAGCACTATGAGAGGCCAGGAGAGACCTTTGGTGAAGGTGCAGCTTCAGTAGCGTTTGAAATCCCAGGATAGAAGGGGTCATGAAGAAAAGTCTAGGCTTAGCACCATGACGAGAGTCCAAGAGAGGCTATGGGTGAAAGTGTAGCCCAGCTGCAGTCTAAGACATTTTGAAAATATCAGTACCATTGGATGACCACCAAGAATAGCAGCAACAGTGGGGTATAGCCTGCCTAAGCTGTAAGTGTGCTGCAGAGGACAGAGCCAGAGAAGTGACTCAAGCCCCTTGGAGGAGCCCAGAAGATCATGAGTTGATCCCAAATACTGGATATTGAGGTTTGGGGTTTTGTTTGCTTGTTTTAAGGCAGGGCTTCCCTATATAGCTCTGACTATTCTGGAACTTGCCCTGTAGACCAGACCAGGCTGACCTTGAACTCAGAGATCCACCTGCCTCTGCCTTCTGAGTGCTGGGATTAAAGGTGTGCCACCACTGCCCAGCTGACATTGAGTTGTTTACACTACTGGAGTTTACATTGGGACTGTGCCCTGGTTCTTCCCTCTTGAAGAAAGGTTTTTGTTGTTGGTTTTTTTGGTTGTTTTTGTTTTGTTTTTAATTTTATAAGAGCCCACAGTTGAGAGACTTTAAACTTTAAAAAAAAAGAGATATTGGAGTTTTACAAAGACTTTGGATGTAAAAGCAGAGCTGTCCTGATATGAGGTATGGATGCAGCAGCTCTCTACTGTACAAACCCCAACTTGAATCTAGAGTTAGTTGCTGATAACAGCTTTCTGGCCAATTTCAGATCTGCAGTATGTGTGGTTGATAGATTGATTGATTCTGGTACTAGGCTTTGAACCCAGGACCCTTCTTCACATATAAACGCTCTACTACTGAACCACACCCCGCCCGGCACAGTATTTTAAAATTCCGCTCATGTTACAGCACATATCAGTACTTCCTTTTTTATAGCCAACAGTACTCTCTTGTGCTGATGGGCACTCTATCATAAAATGTAACTATTTTAGGGCTGAGGATGTAGCTCCATGATAGAGCACTGTCTGGCTTGCATGAAGCTCCATTACCAGCACTCTGCAGCCATAGTGTGAAGTGGTGGATTCCTGTAGTCTCTTCTTGGGGGAGGGTGACATAGGAGGCTCCCTGAAGGCCAGGAATTTGGTACCAGCCTGGGAAGGCAAGGGGAGGGGAGGGAAAGAGAGGGGAGGGGAAAGGAGGGGAGAATCCAAGCTGTATTGGTGAACAGATTGAAAATGGGATTCCATCTTTTTGGGGACTCTTGAGAGACATACACCATACCTCAGAATTGTCCAACTTGATAGGCTGAGGAAGCTGGGAATGTCTCCCAGTTTCCTCCAGTCAGAAGCTGAGGGCTACTCTCTGGTGATGCCCTGGCCACAGCCAGCTGGCCTGTGAAGCTTGTTTAAGAAGGCCCATAAATAGCTTTCTCCTCTGCCCTGTGGCACTAAGAAGCTACAGTGATCCTGGGCCCCGTGCAAAGGCTCTTTCTAGCTTAGATTTACAACTTCATAGATCTTGATGGTTTAAAATTTAAGTGTGTGTGTGTGTGTGTGTGTGTGTGTGTGTGTGTGTGTGTGTGTGTGTAGGGGAGGGGTATGTACCCCATTGCATGCTTGTAGAGGTCAGAAGACAATTTTCAGGGGTAGGTTTTCTCCTTCCATTGTGTGGGGTCTGGGGATGAAACTCGGGTTGTCAGGTTTGGCAGCAAGTGCCTTTACCTGCTGAGCCATTTCATAAGCCCCCTTTGATCTTGAATATCCATCCTAAAGGCTACATATTAAAGGCATGGTCCCCACAGTGGTGCTATAGAGAGATGAGAGAACCTTTAAGAAATGTGCCCAGTAGCAGGTCCTTAGGTCATCGAGTGTATGCCCTCCTTGAGGATTCTGGGAGCTAGGGGCCTTCCTTCTCTCTCTTTACTTCTTGGGTTTTGGGATGCTCTATGCCATAGGGCTGCCTCACCATAAGAGCAAAATAACTTGGACCAAGGGATCATGGGCCAGAACCTCCAAAACTAAGCAGAACAAACTTTTCCCTCTTATAAATTGATTATCTCAGGTACTTAGTTAACATGAAAGAATGCTGATATCCCCTCCTTTAAAAATGACAAATATCTAGCACAGAGTGGTGATTTGACTTATAAAGGGCACAGCCCAAGGCCACTGAGATGGCTCAGTGGTTAAAGAAGCTTGCTATCGAGTCTGATGATCTAAATTTGATCCCAGAACCTGCGTGGTGGAAGCAGAGAATTGACTTCCAAAAATTGCCCTTTTACCATCATGTGTGCCTTGACACAAGTGCATGAGCACACACACACCAAAAAAAAAAAAATGCAATTAATTTTTAAAAAATCAAAAAGGCACAGTTTAGTTCTGTAAAACTTCAAGTACACCAAGCACTTTAAAAACCGTTTATTTTTGTATTACCTACATCTTTGTTCAGAGCTTCTATAAGAAACCAGCTAGCACCTCCATGAGGAGGCAGCCCCTCCCATCCAGTGAAGCCACCATTTCCTCCGATAGGTTCTGTAATTAATTCTTTCTGCAAACCTTGCTTCGATTAATTATTTGCAGTCATGGCACTGATTTGCTGAGAGACTCAGTTCCTGTCCGGGCCTCTTGGGTGGCCTGAGAACACGAAGGGCTTCTTACCTGAAGGATGTCAGCAATTAGCGTCCATTTCGATTGCTGGGCACGAGCCGACTGCCCAGGAGAACATCAATTAGTTCACTGGCTAAATCGTGCTCAGAAGCACGGGTTACCAAGGGGACTGTGGTCAGTGCCAGGATTTAAGTGGTGCTTGTCTTCGGGGATCGTCTTTCCTGAATTGCGGCCACGTTCTGGGCCTGGTGATTATCGGCAGGCTGATTAGACCTCGTCCCACATGGAGAGTGACTTCCTAATCACCAGATGCTGAGAAGAGTGTCCAGGCACATACAGGTACGCCCCATGTGACGTGCTGGGGGCTGGCACAAGTCCTACAAAGCTGCTTTGAGCCTACAGCCAGGGAGTGGGGGACACAGTGTATACCCGTGACTCTGCCGGGCACTCTTGGAAAGAGTTCAAGGGACTGAGGAGGCCCCAGAGGGCATGGAACCCTGGTACCATTCCTGGAAGGTTGTGGATGCTGTCAGTGGATTCTGGCCTGAGAAGAACACTAGAGAAGTGGTGTCAGGCACTGGGCTGAAAACAGCCATGTGCCGTGTAAACAGAGGGCCACCGCTAGCTGCAGGTTCTACTGTCTTCCCTCCAGATTACATAACCTGCAGGATGGAGGTGTGGTTCCATGGCAGAGCACTTGACTAACTACTGTGAGGTTCTGGATCCCATCCTTAGAATCACTAAATAAAGGGAATACTTAAAATATAAAATATTCACAGGAAGATTTGGTGGACGTTGCAGAGCCCCCGTTGAGGGCCCTACCCTGCCTGGGGATTGGTGGGTGGATGGGGTGGGGGATAGGTTGGG